TAAAGATCCAGCAGTTACTCAGTTTCTTAAATCTGTGTCCTGTGGGCACCTCGTTTCATCAATAAATTATTTTTCTCTTCACATTCGCCCAAACTCCTGTTTCATATTGGTGGGAAAAAAAATATCAAACTTTTCACTTCAGAGGAAACATTTATCCTCTAACATTTCTCTCTGAAAACATTGTCTCAAACCAATACACCCTTTTTTGTTTCCAGAAATGTTTTCTGTTGAAAAAATTTTAAAGTAACACATGCAGCAATACCACTAGAGGAATGAACTGCCTTGCTTTAATATGCCAAGAAATCAATTTTGGTTTTGGAAAAAGATTGATTTTGCTCAGGCATTAGAAAATGCTCTTGGTATTTGCAAATCTGATTTGCAAAACAGCACAACTGAACAATTAAGAAATGGAAGTGCCATGAAGGTGGATATTATTAAAGCAGTCTTAGACAAACCTGTTATGAACTATATCAAGCTGGCTGGAGAAATCTGGATATCCCAGATGCTGTTAGCTGATCTCATACTTCGAGACAAAACCAATCTCATGAATACATTTTCCTACTGTTCTGATTAATTACASGTCCTTTCTAGAAGTGTCCCGATAAGAACAGCCCCACATGTCTGGTAGCTCACTGCAGTGTTTGGGTGGTTCCAGTCATCTGASCTCTAACATGACTGGAAGTTTCCAATTATTTTTCACAAACACATGATTCATTGTCTCTGGGTTTTGCTGCTCAAGCTTTTTTTGTTTTTTGTTTTATTCGAGAAACACTGTTCAGAAAGGTTAAGCTTAAATCAYCCAAGTAAAGGCCTTAATTAACTTTAGAAACTGCTGAATTAACACCCTCAGATCTCCTCGAATTTTGCAGCAGTGAAGGTTATTCTGTGTAGTAGGAGGTAACTACTGCCTGCAGCTGTAGCACTTCCCTTCACTGAAATATTCCCAGCTATGTACAAGTGTGGGATAAAAGAAGTGTTTCCAATTAAAAAAGAAAAAAAAGTACTGCACATCCACATTGCCTTTCACCCATACGTTTGATAAACATTCATAAAATCTCACAGGAGGAAGAAAAAGGTTAAGGAATCCTAAAACAAAAAGGTTAAGAACTCCTAAGACGACTTCTGGCATGGCAGAGACCATTGCAGGGCTSTGGGATACTCCAGGGGTCTGAAGGGGTCTTTCAGAAGGGTTCAGATAGTAATACCAAAAGTCAGGTTATGTCCTCCCAAGTCAGAACTCTTTCCCAACTTCCCTCTTTCCCCAGGACAGGTTGTAAGCTGCAAACGACTGTTAAATAAACAGCACTSTTTTCTTGCTGTCTGCTGGTCTACTTATAGTCAGAGAAAAGTCAAGGTTTCACCTATTTTTCATTTTTCTCGTCTCAGACACATAAGCCCGCTTATTTTGTATGAACTGATCCAAGAAGCTTATATAGGATTTTAAGGGATTTCTGGTTCCATCTATCCCTCTCRGCTAGGAACGTAAACCAAATACCAAATCAGGCTTATGTGTAATTTAGGTAACATAAATCACAGCAGAGCTTGAGCTAAAACCTGGTGACACTGGCAGTGACAGGTCCCTGCTCTAACCATATAATTGTAATTCTCTTCTGTTCAGAAATGTTTTCTCAGCTCCAGGACCTGTCCATTCTTCCTACTCCCTCTCTTCAGCAYACATTTTTCTTTAAATATTAATCATCAGAACATATTTTGATGGATGAAGACTAAAATCCATGCATGCAGTGTCAGGACTATGGCAATATCAAAGTAATATTTCCTGCATTTTCATATTAAGTATCTCTATTTAGGCTGGGAAAGCAAGCAGTGTAGGGATTCAGTAAAGTTAGCTTCCTGAATGCTTTCAGAATCCTGCTTTAAAAGTAGTTTCTTCTCTCCTTCAGCACAGGACTTTCTCCCACAGGGCAACACCCACTCTAGACTGGAAAMCRAATGTTTTAAATTATTTAATTTTCCCCTGGATAAGTGCTGCTCACTGCTTCACACTCCCACAGCTCCCACCCTGGGTCTGCAACTGAGGGTTAGAGTGAAGGGAAACAACAGGAGGGGCAGGGAAGGCTCTCACTGTTTTCTCTGGGAATACCAGAAGCAGCCCACAACAAAATAAGCAAGTTAAAGATGGCATATGAATCCCACAAAAGAGATTTTATATGCTGTTGCTTTTTTTCCTTAAGAGAGTTGCTTTGGGAAATATTCTTGGCAGGTCCAAAGCACATAAATCCCAGAAAGGAATCACAAGGGTGATGAAAAGGGAAGATGTAAGCTATAGAAATCAGAATCTCAAAGATTTTTGGATTGGGGAGCTGCTCCAGAAGGAAAAATAACAAAAGCAGAGAGACAAGCAGTACAGAAAGACTTTTGAGACCAAGAAGAATTGAAGAAAGAACTTAAGCAGTGAAGGATGAACAAGTGTAAGGAAAACACAGAAAAAGGAAGGGTACTGCATAGGAGAGCTTTGGAGGAAAGTGTCAACTTTGCTGGTCACACCAGGAACAGATGTGCTGTGCTCTCCTTAGAAGGTGTGCTATGACCTCTACCCTGTGCATTTGAGGAAGGAACCATAGAGTTCAGCACCACATGAACATCCACTTGGGGACCAAAATGATGATTTATGGAAAGAGAAAGGATACCGTTCTATCAAACACTATAAGCAACCATTTTCAGGTCTGTAATACAATTCTACTACCAGAGAAATGATCTCCCTATGGTACAAATTCTGGAGTAAGAGTCATGTGATGCACTATAACCATGGAAACCACTGTTTTATTCAGCYAAAGACTAAACAATTGCTTTTTTATGCTGAAGGCTGCTACTGCATGTAATGTTACTGCACAAAAATCTTACAGCCTTGTATTTTCAAATAGATTTCTCTTCTTCAACAGACTTTGAGAGTATATCAGCTCTCTGTCGTTTAAATAAATGCTCTTCCAAATGGACTACTGGGAATGAGTCAATGATTTGACCATTTAGGAAGATTGATTTCATTATAAAGGCCATTAAACTCCATGCCTAAGGAAGAAAAATGAATATTTTACTACAGAAAAATCTATAGGAACATAATCATATGGAAGACCTTGTAGTGAATAATTTTTTGTAACTGCTCAGAAAATACTGGGCAAAACTTAGGTTTGCAAGGGCAGGGATACATTCCATAGGCCATACACTGAGTGTTTAATCACTGCTACATGGAGTTTACCAACAGCAGTAAATTGGGTGGGGTTTATCTCTACTAATATCAGAAATTTATAAACTAAAAATGTGTAACTCAGCAAGTCACACAGAYCCCCTGAAGCTTCACTGCATCCTACACACAAGGCATCTAGAAAAAGTATCTGGAGTGGCATCATTGAAGCCTAATGCCCTTTAATTAACTTCWAAATCTCTGCAAACTACTTTTTACCTCCCATGTTGATGGTTTGTAGCCCATGCAAGACCCTTGTTTGCTTTATGCTCACGATGCTCCAGAGTTATGTGCCTTCCACGAAGTTTTACAGAGTTAGTACATTCCTGTATCTCCTGGAGTAAGGAGCTCGCAAGGAAAGGTCAGCACACTCATTTCCAGCACACACACACACACACACACACAAAACTTTCCTTTCTGGAAGAAAATCTTTAGATGCCAATGAAAACAATCAGGCTACCTTGGTTCACACCACCTGCTGAGCTGGGTCTTCGTTTCCATTATGTCGCTACACGCACTCTTCTGGCGATGGACCTATGATGAATTTGTACACAGCACCAGTGTCAYGACATATAAATGCCCCTTCTCCTTCCTTCCCACTTCTCCCAGCTGTTGCTGCCACTGTCACTAAGCAAAAAAGCACCTTAGAGGGCTGGAAGTGGCGAGATGGCACTGCAGGGAGCACTGAAGAGATGTTGGCATGAGGCAAGAAGGTATCTTATCATTTATGGACTAAAGCACAAACAAGAAATCTGAACTGTGCTTGATCATAAGGGTGGAAAAACATTGGCAAAATAAGAATTTATTGATGAAAACWTTGGATCTTTTGAAAAAATTACTTTTGGGTAACCTTTTACAAAGCAGCTAAGATGAGAAAACACAGTCTTAAGCTGTGCCAGGGGAGGTTTAGGTGGACATTAGGAAGAATTGCTTCACAGAAAGCGTTATAAGTTTTTGGAATGAGCTGCCCAGGGAGGTGGTGGAGTCACTGTCCCTGGGGATGTTTAAGGAAGGCCTGGACATGGCACTCAGTGCCCTGGTCTGGTTGACAAGGTGGTGTTCAGTTTTAAGTTGGACTGAATCCCAGAGGTATTTCCCAACCTAGCTGATTCTGTGTAAAACCAAAATCTCTTCTGAAGAAGATGTGGGAGAAGGAAAGATGAAAGTTGATTAATTACTGTCCTGCCAGAAGGAGCTATGTTACAGAAGATAAGTGAAGCTTTTACAGTGTGAAGGAAAAGATAATAAATTGAACATCACAGTGAGAGAAAATAAGAATTTATGCTGGAGTGGAAAATTACAGTGGCCTTACAATTATTAGCACTGGATTACTGCATAGGCTGGTTGATGAAATAGATTTTACCACTAGTAAGTAATAAATCTCAYTGTAATGAAAACATGAGATTCTGAAGATCATTAACCATACGATAGCTTTACATGACAGAATCGCTGCGTACTTCTGAATGGGAAAATCAGCCACATAAATCCAYTATTTGATTTTCACTTTAAAAAACCCTATAAATGCAAATATGCTGGAGGTACATATTGTCATTTATAACACTTTACTCAAGGTTGTATTGACATTGCTATTCTTCAGCTTTATTTTCCAAGACACGCATCTCAGCGACACTTAAAAGCCTGCAAGTTTTGCACGGTGTGCATTCTAGGACTCATTCACCTTCATCCAGGAAAGCCCTGACAATGCAGAAAATAACTTCACTCCTAAGCTAAGGGTTCTCACTTGGCACACACACATTTACTGTTACACTGCTGGGCCAGATGGTGACACCATTTCCCTTACCTGGTTGCAAACATTGCTCTCAAGGATGAGAAGGTTGCTGCATCTTCCTTCAAAGCCTTCAGTTCATTCCGTAGTTTGGTCATGGTCTCAGTCACCATTGCTTTTTCATTTTCRTATTTATTCTTCAAATTGGCCAATGCCACTTCAGCTGTCTAAAAACACAGAYAAGGATATGTGCTGATGAGACAGATTTGAGAACAGATAAAATCTCCTGCCTGATTTTGGTTTTGATGCCCTTCATTCACACGGTAAAAAAAAAAAAATAAACCCGATCTTCATTGTACTACATCCTTTAACAACTTCTTTTAAGTTGTACTCCGTGAAACRGGAAAAGGAGAAAGCAGCTGAAAGGACAAAGTCCATTTCAAGRGCAACTGGCTACAATTCAGCACCTCAAGTGTCTCTGCAACACTGCAGCTGCATGCAGAGGACTCAGGCAAGTGAGTAAAGTTACTACAGGAGCTGTTACTACRTTGTTAGAGCTGCAATAAACAATCAAGTGTGTCCCCTGGCCACTTTGCAAACAGGACACAGCACCTGAGGCTCATCCTCAGCAGCCAAGTTGTGAATCAACGTGTTTGGCCTCAAGCCTYCTGCTAGCTGAGGCTTTCCTTGGGCACGGGGATGGCCAGGACCTGGCAGCTTAATTTATGTCTGAAGAACTGGCAATGTCTACTGCTGTGCAAAGCAGCATTATCTTGGCAGTTTTAATCACTACATTTTTCATTTAACTGGAAAGTAAGGCCTATTCCTAAATTTTTGCTGCTCCCTTCTTTCTTTGTTCAATTTCATCCATTAAATTTCTTCAATTTACTACTGTACAGCTTTTAATAGTTGCATTTGTCTTATCTTTGCAAGACTTGAACATTCTGTTTTATCCATGAATTCAGCATCATCCTGAAATTATTCAAAATACATGGTTTTATAGACGCTTTACACCTACTGCTGCTTTAAATTTAAACCATTAAAATTTAAAAGAGACATTTAAAATTATTGCCCTTGAATGAGATGAAGAAAAATTTGCTTCYTTGTACATTTACTCAGAGTGTGTCATGGTTGTTTTTTCACTTTGTTTAGTGTATAATGAGTTGCAGCAATTCATACAGGCAATTAATTTCCCCTGTGGATCTTAGGGGCTCTTGAGCCAGCACCAGGGGAGAGAAGTGTAAGAGAACATCAGATTAAAGCAACCAGCAAGGGGACAGGACAAAAGATGGTAAATGGCCAAACAGTTGGAAAGCTATTTTAAACTCAGTTTTCTGAAACTCAATACATTTCCCCCTAACAACGTCTCTTAACAAAAGGACACATTAGWATCTGCTACTAAATTACAACTTTATTCATTTGCGGCTTGTTAAATAGCACCACTAATAACAGCAGTGTTAAAATAATTAGTTTTTTTTAATGGGATACTCACCAATAATATTTTCTTCCTTTCCCACCAATTTACATAAAGAGAACAGATTTTTAAAGGTCAGTAGTAGTAACCACCTCTCATTTAAAATAGATGCATTTTWCCAATCCAAAGTTGAAATCATCAGCAATACATGTAAAATTATCAACCACTGAGGGAGCTATTCAAATCAATTCTGTATTTTTCAGCCTTTCTGATATATGTTTTGGTGCCACGTAGCATGGTGGACACCAGCCTATGTCTTGGGAGGATAAAGCAGAAATCAGCAGCTTTTTGGCTATTTTTAAGCCTTGACCAGAAATGCACACTGATAAATTAACAGTAATTTACTGAAACAGTAATTTACATCACTGAAACTGTGCACAATGATCAGACAGATCATGATCCCTATGTTTTAGTCTGGATGTCAGGGTACGTTAAATGGACATGCAACACTACAGCATGGAAAATCACCTGGAAATACAGTTTACCTGGTGAATGAAAGTAACAGAGAAAGGACTGTGTCAAATCTTCAAACATTTTTTTTTCTTCCTATTAAAGTTTCCCATATAACAAAATACAGAAAACAAAGCATAAATTTCAAATCCTATGGGAAATGCCTCATGGCTCTCCATGTACCAGCTAAGCTGCAGAGAATCTCCCTCCTGAAAGCCTACTAAGCAAAAAATAAATGACCACAAGTGCTCTGCTGGAGAAGCAAATAAAATTAATAACAAATATGGATTTAACAGAAAGAGAAAAAGGGGAACACAAGCTGAGGAAGCTTCTGCTGGAAATTTGGGGGGCCTGAAGAGACAGGAAACTTGCCTGAAGCCTGAATGTGTAATGGAGAGTGAGGCAGAGGATAAAAGGGGAACTCAGCCTCTATATATCAGAGACAATGAAGAGTGTCTGGTCACCTCAGATGTACATCACACTGTGCCAAACTAACAGGGTCAAAATGAACCAAAGCACAGCTTCATATTACTCTTCCTCCAGCACCAGCTCTTGTAGAAATTATTACTATTTGTTCCCCATCTCAGCCAATCTCCAGAATTGTACCTACTGATCCATACATTTATGTGTGAGCTATGTATGTGGTTGTGCCTGGAACCATTTCTGTGGGATAACCTAAATTTAAATAATCTAAAACTGTGCATTCAGAGAATGCTCTGAAAGGAAAGGTGGGGCAAATAAAAGCCTTCATCTCTAAGCAGTGGGAACCAGAGGGAAGCAGATGTCCAGTACCTGGCTTTGTTTTTAACACCTCTTTTGGAAGCATTTATTTTAAAGCTGTGGTAAAGTAAAAAATTCACATCAGAAAAATTACAGAACTTTGTTCCACATAAAAATGCAATCTCTCTACACAAGTAGATGGGGAGCATGAGAAAAAAGATGAAAACATGGGGAAAAAATGAATATTCTTCAGTGAAGTAAATAATGTAATMAGACAGCAGAAGTGCTAATGACACTCTTGTCAGACCAGTCATGCTGAGGAACTGGGCAAATGAGTAGCCAGCTTTGCAGCCAGACATGGGACTGATGGATGTACATGGAGCATTTACTGCACAGAAGAAATCACCTGGAAATGACAGCAGARAGCTCCAGTGGCTGGATTGCAGCAGGGTGTGAAATACCAGCAAGGAAAAGAGAGCTGGGGAACACACAGAGCTCAGCTCCCCTCCCCAAACCCCAGCCCTGGAGGTGAATATGCTGAGGTGAACACACACCCAAGCCCAGGACCTCAGGCACAACCAGAACTAACAGAGTCCTTTCCATCCCATCCATACTGAAAAGATGTTTGCCCAAACTTGTTTGCCTTCACCCTGAAATCCATGAACAAATCTCATTTTCTAAGACAACTTTGTATCCCATTGTGAGTGTGACAAGCAGACCAGCTAAAATAATTGTTAATAAGTATTAAATCCTAAACTGGTAATTGCTTTTATTTTTACTTCATATAAGAACGGAGAAAACTAGTCTGTATTTTTAGAGCATAAGTTAGACATGGTACCAGATCTTTTCATCAAGCCTCACTTTCCCAGCAGTAATTCTACTGTCCTCTGTCTATATAATATAATGGTATTTGTTTATAGATAAGATTCTATATGTCTGGAGTTTTCAAGGTATTTTTTCTTAAGGATATGGGTATTTCAATTATGGAAGCTGGAGACACCATAGTTACTGCTAATGCAGTCATGAAGATCTTGCTGACTCAAACCTGACTCATTGAACTATTTACTTATGAAAACAACTGATCAGCTTTCCAGCAGAACTTCAGGATATTAAATTTCCCTCACAGGCAGCCTTGCTTTCTGATTGCTATTAGAAATCAAAACCAAACCCATTACTGAACTGGTCCTAAAAGTTCCTGCACCATTAATTTGATATTACTTTYCCATTTATGCTACTTGTTAATGTTTACTCTACCAATCTGATGCTGACACAGTAATTTGGGCTATAAAAAAATGGATACACAAGGTAAGGAAGCAAGCCAGCAAGATCTATGTGCCTTGCTTTCTTGAGCAACTCATTTAATAATCCATTTGCATGGACTTAGTTTTGCATCTTCTTAGATCAAATCTTGCTCTCTTTATCCTGATTGAGCTTTTTGTAGTCTGAAATGCTTATTTGGGAATACTACTGGTCATCACTAGACAGCAACTGTGCTTCCCTGGCTAAGGGTGTTTTTTCACTCAAGTACAGTCCAAAATACCAGACCAAGGGAAGGGTCCCACAAAGGAAAAATATTCCTCTTGCTGTCCAGAAACTTAGTCTTTTGAAGGGGAAGACCACAAGAGGATGAATCTTAACTCCTGTTTTTTTGAACATGTGCCAAAACATGAGTTTGGGTCCTGGGATACACCCACTGCTTGAGGCTGGCACATAATAAATCACTCTTCCCCCTCTAACTATAAATTTCTCCTTCCCTTTATATTATTACATCTTTTAGCTTGCAAGTTTGAGGAAGCTGATACCAGGTTTAGATGAACAAGTATTGCAAGTTTCTGTWCCTAGTTGTATAGTTACCAATATCTATGCTGCTATCCAATCAATAAAAAATTAGTTAATTGCAGCTCCTTAGTTCACAAATTTATCTTTTCCATTTCAGYGAGTATGCCTTAGGATAATGCATTATTTCTGACAGCAATAAAAGACTGAGACTGAGACAGATCRTCTGGTAGTAGCAAAAAAGTAAATGATAGCTCTATGCTAATGGGAAAAATCTTTAATTTGGAATCACAGAATGTATACCCACATACATCAATTCCACCTAAATTGCATTTTAATTACACAGAAAATCCACATATGATTGCTCAGAGCTATTATTGCTTAGCTTGAGATGATATTTAATTACTTAAGTTAATATTTAACATGTGTTGTATCAGAAGGAGGGGAAYGCTATGAAAGACTCAATACATGTTGAAATATTGCTGCAATTTAAAAATCCCAGTACCCTAGAAATGCAGTTAGAGATCCAACAATCAATTAAACTTGAAACTGTAACTTCACAATATTTGACTACTGGGAATTCTAACACTGAAATCCCAYCACTGTCATCAGTTAACAGTGTGCCAACCTGTTAACCAGGATTCAAGCCCCCATGTGGTGATCACTGCACTATTTTCAGATGAGAAAAATGCCAGGCAACCCACAACAAAGACACTGTAGATGCAGCCTTTTGCATTCAGATTTAATTCTGGGCTAAAGAAGATGCATCAAAGGAAATAAAACTATTTGTACACTAAATTTAACCTTTTTTTACAGTGTTTTCAGACCTGGAATCTCATTGCATAAAAAGGTATTGATAGATACAGTATGCAAAAAAAGACAGTACTCTCGAAAAACATTAGATGGATTTTTTTTGAGGCATTTGATATCAACTACTATAATTTTCAGCTTCTTTTCATTGGTGCAACATCAGAAAGTGGTTTAATGAATTTCTCTGAAGATGTAAAAAAAATCAACATAATAATTAGAAGGGTTTTATTCTTTTAAATGCACAAGCACACCTCTGAGAAGCTCTCCATATACATTCTATTTTTTTACCAACCCTGGTGATATTAATGGGTTTGTGACAGTATCACAAACATGCCCTGGCAGTAGCTGRTCCCTGCCTACCCCTGTGCTGAGTGAATGGTGCGTGCTGAGAAAAGCAGAACTAAAGTGCTTCAAGAGGAGGCTGGAAGGGGAGGGAACAAAGGTCTTCCCTTGCAGTGATTGAGTGAGAGGCTAAATAACTTGCGAGTAAAACCTCTCCTCYTAAATTCTCCTGGGAAACCTTTTAAGTAACCTGTATAAACAGACCTTCCTGGGTGCTTTATGGGCATCTTACCTGCTTGTTGGCTTTCAGCACAGCTCTCAGGGTGGCGATCTGCTCTCGCTTCGTACTCAGCAGCGATTTCAGCTTCAGGATCTCTTCCATTAAGGCCTCCTTGTCTTTGTCGATCATGGGCGCCAGCTCGCGGGCCGCGGCCCGCTGGCGCGACAGCTGCAGCGACCGATCCACAGCCTTCTGCAAGTGCTTGATTTGGTCCCTTATTATGGCGTTGAGGTTGTAGATGTTCATRGGCTCCTTGCGGATGTCACTGGTGTCAGAGACGGGGGAGGAAGGCGGGGCTGTGATGACAGGAGAAATGGAAGGCGTTTTTGTCGGGCTCTGCTCCTTGCCGGGCTCCGCAGCCTCTTTCGTCACCTGCTCGCTCGGGGGCCTGGATTCCACGGGTGACGCCACCCCCCGCCTGGAGAGTCGYGGGGAAAGGAGGCCTCGAGGGTCGTCGGGTCCCTTCAGGCTCCCGCTGCGGGTGACTCTGCTCTGCCTGTAATAGTCCAACATGACCCTGTTGGGCGTCTCGTTGTTGCACAGGCAGACGTGGTGGTACAGCTGGGCCAGCTCCTCGCTAAACGTCACCAGCTCGTCCTGGGCAGTGTTGAGGGTATTGTGGTTTTCGTTTGCTATGCTCGTCATCCTCTGTAACTCTTTTTCCATGTGGACCATCTTTTCCTGGCTTTCCTTGGTCGACTTCTCCAGGTTCGTCACCTGCTCGTCGTACGTCTGGATTCTGCTCTCATACTTGGCCTTCTCTTCCGTGTAGYTTTCCACGTACTTATTGTATTTCTCCTTTAAGGCTTTGATTTCTGCTTTAAGGTCTATCACCTCAGTCACAGCTACTTTGTATTTACATTCCAGGATYTCCAAGCCGTTGATGTCCACTTCGTAGTCGTGGGCCTCCTCGCCGGAATCTCGGCCCTTCTCRCAGTCGAGCTCCACCTTCAGCTCCTTGTTGCTCTGCAGCCCCCTCATGGCGTTGACGTGCTCGGTGAGCCTGTGGACGCGCTCGTGCTGCTCGGTCAGGGCTCCCTTGGTGTGCTCCAGCTGCGTCTGGGACTCCTGGAGGTTGGCCAGGAGAATGGCCTTCTCTCGCTCCACCTGCAACAGAGGCAGAGTGAGAAACCCAGCATCTCATCCTACTCACCCTGCGGTCACAGCCATCTCTTCCATTCCACCACTGTGTGCAGCTTGAAGGCTTCCAAGAGATTTTAGCTACATACACCTAAACCATAAAACTAATTTATAGAGAGCCATGTAACGCTCAGAGGTTTAGGAAGTCCCAGTCTCTGTTACAATTCCAATATCATGTTGCCCACTGAAGAATTACTACATGTCCGAGCACTGTCTCATCAGCTAGAGTGATGATCCAGGATTTATTAGGACATATGTTCCCTGAACACAGAAACTGCATCACTGTCAACTGTAGGCCATTTCTCAACGCAGTTTGAATTTACATTTTCCATTATAACACTTCTACCAATCTTCCACAATATTCATTTATATCTTTGAAGTGTTGCACATTTTCATTAAGGCAACTGCAGTAAAAAAATTTTTTCCACAGATTAAATAACCTACAGTGTGGAAATGGAACACAGATCAGGACACTGAGCACATGCAGCTCCCAGGACTCCCCATCCTGAACACTTCACTTTAAGTGAAATCCATCTGTTTAGGTYCAAGCCAGGAAAAACCTGATTKGTGGTATAAMTCACAACTTACTGGTTCTGGCCTARTAMGTTTCTTTCCAAATATCCACATAGAAATGTGGATGTTGAGCAATGAAAAGGTCATGAAGGACACCTATAGAGTTTTAATGCACATCAAGTGAACAAGACAAATTTAAAAATTTGATATACTCAGGTATTTGCTACTCATCATAACACCCCTGAATATCTCCCTTATCAAGTTTTAAATGCAACACTCCAACTTTTTTCTTGTGCTTTGTCTGTTCTGAGGTGTGGACTGGGAAGCTAAGGAGGGCTTATGGAGACAGGATCCTTTGATGGGATCCTTCTTCTTCTCATGGTCTTTGCAATAGGACCCTAAGCCTTCCAGGTTTACTGCTCTTCTCTCCCCCAGCAGAGGTATTTCAGCACATGCAGTGAAAATGGTACTCTCTGTTTCCCGTGGTGAGTAGTGGAATTACTAATTCTGAGAATTCAAAGCTTTCGATTCTGAAAAAAAAAGTGAAGAGTCTATCTCTTTAAAGTGTTCCATTTTTGGCCCTACATAGTCTGTGCAGAAGAGGAAAAGAACCACATGTATTTTGGCACCCTTCTCCATTTTTCATTCCCCTATTACTGTCCCAGTATGTCTGCCACCCTATTTGTTGCTCATCCCCCACGTCAGCCCACTCTGATTGAGAAAATCCAAAATAGGGCAAAATTGCCTTTTGCCAAGCACATCTTCTTAAAAGGTGACCACTTTCTACAGATCTCTTGGTCAGGGCTGTCCTGGGGCCCCTCAGAAATCAACTCAGCAGAAGTATCTTCACCAGCTTTCCTGTTTTTTCATCAAGCTGCCTGCTCCAGGTCTGCTCTCCCTAGAACCCTTCAGCTGAACTCTCGTTGTCACCACCTGGTAGGCTTCAATGTTGGTTACACTGCCCTCATCGGATAATGAAGATATTTGTTCCTTCAGGGTAAGGTGAGCAGTGCATGGGCATGAAAAATCTGTATTTTGGCTAATTTAAAGGATCATCTCACCTTACAGTAAGAAATCATAGAGATAATAAAGARGCAGGTATTACACACCAAAGGCAGTTGGCTGATTTTAGTGCAAGGGTTCACTGGGGGCATCTTCACACCAAAGAAGCCAATTCATTGTAGATTGCATGTAAAAAGAATATTTTATTTCTTTTTAATAATATTTATTKATTTATAATAAAGCCTTTCCTCTGAGAAAACACCTGGGTGTTAAAACAGCASAGAGCCTCAGTGCCACCTTAAATTRATCAGATRGAATTGRTCCTGCAGGACTACTAACCYGACYCATTATACCYTATCATGAAGAAAAACTGCAGCAGAGCCATCTTGATGATAATTTCTGTTCTGAACATAAATGAGTTCTGGAAACATACTCCTTTCACATGGAAAGGATTCTTTCCAGAAAAAAAAAACCAAAAAAAAAAACATGCAACTTTTAGAACTCATACATCATCTTGTACAGCAGGCAAAAGGAAATACACAGACCTACTCAATTKTATTCATTCTGGACCAGCAATAATGGATTAAGTTAATCCCCTTCTGTTTAAAATCATAAATACMTGCTCCTACTGCCAAGGGAAAAATCCCAAAGCTCCAGCTCAGKACTGGGCACACCTTTTGCATATTAATGACTCTGCTGTTCCCAAGTATGGTAATGATGTTTTTTGTTCTAGACAAAACTCTTTTTTTCACCACAACAAACTTGTGGAAATTCCAGTTATATTTCAGCCCAGATTTTTTGACACTGGAATTGGTAGTTGCAGTAACAATTTTTATTATCCTAATATGAAAACAAAAGCAGTTCAAAGGTACCTATTTTGTGATGCATGCTTCCCTTCAAAGATTTCAGCTTGAGGAGATTTCCTTTCCAATTTGCATCTATAGTTTGCAATTACGGAAACCAATTTAAACATAGCAATTTATCACCTCACTTTTCTTTTTTTTTTTTTTTTTTTTTTTATTAACAACACCAGAATTTCAGTGATCAATTCCTGGACGAGACTCGAACAAATTAACAGGAAAACTCATCTCAAGAACACCGATTGTCAGCTATAGCATACTTGTCACAGAGGAAACTGAGCTGCAGGACTTTTTATTTTTCTTCCTTTTTTAAGAGAACTTAGATTAAGTTTTCCATGTATGAGACTGGCCTTAGAAAAAAAGAGAAAGCATGACAGTGGAAAGAAGAGGATTCCCAGGCCTTAAAGATGATATCGAGAATTCTTTCCATTGGCCAACAAACAGGAATAGCATAAAGCCTTGAGCTTTCCCAAGAAAATCTTAGAATACGAAAATTTTCAGTATGACATTTGTTACATAGCGGGCATAAACATTGAAAGGGAATAATTGCAATAAAATCTCTCCTAGGGACCAGCAGAACTCATGGAACAGCAGCATCCAAAAGCTGTAGAATTATATCTGCCATACTAAGTGTTTCAATGGAGGTTTCTTTATGATACTGAGGAGTGAAAAAAATTTGCTGCACACACTTAGAAAAAGGCAAATCTAAAAATTCCCTCTCTCCAGAAAAGGAACCTGGTATCCCAAGAAAAAAAAAAAATCCCAAGAAACGGTCAATTCTTTCAGAAACTGTCCTAGTGCAGCCTCTTCAGAGAAAACAAGAGGAACTCATTCTGCGTCTTGAGATATGGCTGAATGAATGGCACATGGCAAAGACACTGTAGAGGAGAAAAAAATTCCAATTTTGTTGAGGATTTATCTCTTGTCAGCTTTTAAAGCTGATTAAGACTCCCAYCTACCACATGGAAAACTTCTGGAGGGATTTTCCACATTTAATTTGTATGACCCAAATCTAATTTGGGTGATGTCAACTGATGCAACTGAACAGAGCAGATGATCACTCTGCACACGTCAGAGTTTTGCAATGAGTCTTTCTAGGAGAAGAAATCAGATTCTTATTGAGGTGTAGTCTTTCTTTTTAAACCAYAAACCATTTAAAAGGATGTAAATGCAGGGGCGACCAGTACTGGCACGGTCATGCTGGGACCCAGCACCAAAAAATATTATGGCTAAAAAATTGTTATAATTTCTTTTGTGGGGTCCTAAGATTCTTCCAAGTGACTGTGAGAAGGCYGCCTCTTTCTTTAAGAGATACAAAATAAACAAGTTTTTAAGTTAGAGAAGGTAAAGACAATTGTAGTATCTTTCAAGTGGAAGTTCATTGAGTCATCAAGCTCAGCATTTAATTTAATAAAATCAACACAAAGCATACCCAAAACAATCCTTTTTTCTTCATTCCTAAGCATCTTTCACTCCAAATTTATATTGAATAAACTTCATTGTAAATTCTGCTTTGAAATACACTGTATTTTGAAATGTGAACATTTCAAAGCATTTCTTCTGAAACTGCTGGTTTAAAACACTGTTTTAAACAGTTTTTAATTTTAATTGTATTTCTGAATCAAAGTATAAGCTGAAAATAAAGTATATACGCACATATAATATGTAAAGGTATATGTACTTAGAGATGCATATTTGTACATATGSATATATATACAAAATATACATACTGTGTACATTTTAATACTGGGAAAGTTTAACGGAATTTTTCACATAAACAAAATTCTAAATTTCAAGCTCTCCCACTTAAATGGCGTATGCTTTGTATCAAAGTTATTGGTGCAAARCACTASATGTCATCCRTGCTCACCATGTCACAGCTCAGATYAAAACTTCTCACAGGAAGTAAATAAAACAACTATTTGCTCTTCAGCAAATAGGACAGACTGCATAGGTATTTGTTGTTCTCCAGCAAGCTCTGAAAACTGGGTTTGCTCTACTCCCAAACCACCTTTTACATTTTAAGCAGTAAAGGGTTCACATTTATTCTCTTTAGAAGAGGCACTTCTCAGAAGGCTGAAGCTAARAAACGCTGGATGTTTCCTTGAGGGTGCCAAAACCCTTCAAGCTGTTGTGGCAGCCGTGATGCTCAACAGCTTGTGCAGCAGGACCCTTTCTCTGCGTGGCACTGCAGCCCTTCTTGCGATGATGTCAACATGGGAGCTGGCAGCTTGAGTTTTTATCTGGCACGCATCCCAGGCTCTCACTGCGGCCGATGCCGGGCTGGGCATGGATGAACAGGGAACAAACGCTGGCTGTTCCGTCCCCAGGCACCCCCTGCAGCCGCGCATCCGCCGGCAYAGCCGGGGACAAGGGCGCTCTGTGACAAACCACACGCCACATGCTCCCAGTGCGTGGTGTTGAGAGGAGCGCTCCTCTCCTTTTGTTCCCTCCTGACAGCGTGCCAAAGCTCGCTCGGGCTGAATTTAATGGCAAAAACTCCCTCTGACTTGCAAGGGAGCATAATCAAGTCTGTAAACACGAATATTTTAGTGATTTTTTTTTTTCCATTTAGCTTTAGTTTTATAGACTCAATAGAATACCTTATTTCACTTGCAATTTCAGGCACATTTACCATTATCAAAGCAGGAAAAAAGGAATGTAGCCTTCTGCAACCCCAGCATCCAGGTCTTTTTCTCCTCTTTCCACTAAATACCTGCTCAGGTCACACTGGCTTTTGTGCACMCAGGTACTCTGTTTACTASGGATATTTCTAGCAAAACCTAGKGAAAGGAATGATCAATGTCTTTATAAACAAATTATGGGGTCTGCTAGTAGATAACGCTAGCTATTGATAGGTGAAAGGAGCAATGGGAGGAACGATAAATTCTATAGGAATTCTGACAATGACACAGACTGTTAATCACTCGAGACAGTGCTAAATCCCTGGACTTGGAGAAAAAGAACAGAGAAACAAAGAATACAATTTTTTTAAAAAGGGGGGAAAGGATGCCCATTACGTGGGGTCTGTATGAGGTGATTCAGGGAGTCTGTATCTCTGAAGTACCTCAGCCAATAAGGAAAAAGAAAGGGAAATGTAGCTGAGAAATTAGGATAAAAAGGAAGCTGTGTCCTCTAACAATTTGAGACACCCCATGGAAATGTCCCATGGCTTTTCCYTTTATTCGAATAAAGTTATGGGACTCCTCTGTCTCCTTTTTAGACATAAAMCTCTGGTGTTTAAAGATTAATTTTCCTAACACTGGATATGAAGAAACACCAAAGCAGAAGTCTGAAAAACATACATATGTGGTCAAGAACATCACTGGGAATAATCACTGCAAAACTAGCAAGAGGGTTCACAGGATGTGTGTTTAAACACTTCAGGACATTAAATTCAGCCCTTACCTGCATGAGCTGCTGCTTCAGYTTCTGTATCTCTGATATGTTGAGCTCACTGAAGAGGTCAGAGACRGGGTGCAGAGATTCTCCTTTCCTACTCGTGGGAGTTCTGTAGTCACCGTTGAGTTTCACGAGCGGCCCGTGGATGTGTCCGTTCATTTTGTCGTCATTGTTGGGTTCACCCCCGTCCTCTGAAAACTTCAACCCATCTACTGATATATTAATATGGTTATTATACATACTGTCATTGAGGTTGATATACTGGGAGAGCTCCTTTCTCAGATTGTTCTTTTGCTCTCTTTCATTTTTTAAAGTTTCCAGAGCTTCCTCCAGCTGATGCTCAGCAATCTCCTTCAGCCGGATGGCATCTTCTAGCTGGCTATTAAGCAACACTGTCTCCTCCTCAAATCGTTTAATCTCATGCTTTAAGCCTTCGTATTCAACCTGAATTAGACAAGACAAAGAACATTCATAATACTAAAACTTGAGTTGTGAAAACCTGCCATTCATCAGCCCTGTTGAGATAGGTGTTAGAGAAACTACGGTTTGGAATGCCAGACATTGCCTGCAGCTGCAGAGAACTGACTGAACAAGAAGGGCAAGTGGAGCTCACTCTGTTAAATACTCCAGTGCTCACTTTTTCAGCATAATCAAGAAATATGAAATCGAGAATCAAGAAATAGAAAACCTCTTTCTGATAATGTATGACAAACAATGTATTYCAAAGGAAAAAGGCTGGTTAGTAGCAGATATCCTGTTCCCAACAGATTTACTATGAATTGCCATAAGCAACGTTGGTATATCATGGTATGTACAGATCTCAGGTTAATGTAGCCTGATTTATGATTTGCAAGTATTCTGAAGATGACTTCATATCTCAATTCTTACTAAATGTAAAGTTACKCAAACAGAGATTCTCTCAAGTACCTTTGTAGTTTTCAAAAAYGTGGATGGAAAGTACAGCATCAGTAGAAGAGCCACAATTCTCTTCTCTGTATTGTACAAGGCTSTGCCTTATCCCAGAGGTATTTAATTGTAAAAAATAAACAGGAATCTGTTTATACAATCAGTTTAAACTCTAAGATACCCCAAAATTGTTAGAGATTTTTAAACTACCAGAAGAATGCAGCAAACAGCCCATTCAGCCTCCCAGAGTCCTTGGACTGTGTGTAGGGATGTCCTTCTGGAGCACACAGGAACCTGAAATGTGTCCCAGTGGGAAAACCCAGCCTAACTTGAAACCAGTTGATCAGCAACACCTAGAAAGTGCAGCAGATCCCCACTGCAGAATGCTTTCCCTTTTTCATCTTCCTTTTCACCACTGGAAAACCCCACAGCAATGAAAAGGAAGAGCTTTGTTTGTAAAGGTCTGGGTCCACATTTGATTAGCACTCCTGATAAAAATTATCACACTTTAATTTTTTTTTTTTTAAATTTAATTCTAATCATGTTCACCATTGGCATCTTAATTTTAAAATGCAGAAAGGTCTCAGTGTCAGGTGAAATAATTTAATAGCTTGGTGAAAGAGGGAAAAGAATACTGAATTTTCACGCTTCCATAAAAAGCCCCAATTTTTTGCAGTTGAGGCTTTTATAAKTCAAGCACATTACTGTGCATTACTATCTGCAATCTTAAGGCATTGTATAGAATTTTTTCATATGTGACATATATGGATTTTTAATCAAACCAAAATAAGGTTCTGTCAAAAATAAAAATATCCACCATTCCTACCAAAGTAGAATATTTATCAAYCTGTCAAAAGTCTTCGACTCATAAACCTTTAGAAAGACAAACTTAAAAACCAAAGCACTGATCTTCAAACACAGAAATTTGGAACATATCAAACAACAAAGAAAGTTCAAAAGTCATATTGGGCATTCTCTAAACAGAAAAGATACATCTATGAGAGTTTCAAATCTACATTTAGCAATTAATATCTTTCCTTACTGAAGGAACAGGTCCATCTGGAAAAATTATGAAATGCAATTAAGTAGCAATGCATATAATTAATGACATGTAAAAAGGCCAAACCCAACAAAACAACCAATACTTTTTCAATTTTAAATCCATATGAGCTAGAGGTTTATATCTCTATGGTTATCTTCTCTTAGACTCTTACTTTGAAAAGCTACAAAAAAACCCCAAGACGTAATGACATTTTAGCACCAAGATTTATAGCATATGGTTTTGCAAATTCAAGCATTAAAGTATAAAAATTCTCTTAAAGTTTTATCTTGTAGATTAAAGTAATTTTAGGAATCACAAGTGCATGGATCTGTGATGCAAAATGACTGATTTTTTAAAGCCATCCAAAATGGGGCAATGCTTTTTCTCTCCACAGACTGTTGGCACTGGGTTTCAGTAAGAATTAAATATTATGACAAATATAAACACTTGCAAACAGATTTTACTTTAGGGGGAAACTAGGACAGTCCATAAAGGGGTCGTTTACTTCTTGAAAATGTGAAAACATTTCCTATGAGGCTGATGAGAAAAAAAATCAGTGCCTCAAAGGAGGAATTTGCTGGCTTGGTAAATAACTCTGACAACAAAGATGATGTGTTATAGATTCCGTTTTGGGAGTGTGAAAGACTAAGTATCTTCATAAATAAGGAAATTATGCACCCATTTCCATCACCTGTGTATTCCCTGCAGCACAGCTCTGTTAAGTGTTTCAGTTGCATTTGTGCTAGAGCTGTAAAAAAGCAGTAAAAGGGAGCTGAAATAGCTCTGCTTATTCCTGCAGGAATAAGGCAACTTTGTGCCCAGGCTGCCATCAGAAACTGTGACAGGGCTGGCTCTTCCAGAGAAACCCCAGGTGCACCAGGCAATAGGGCAGGACACAATCAGGGGCTGCAGTGCAGAGCTGTGACCCTCTGAGAGCAGGGCAGGATGAAGAACAATTATGAGGGTCTGGACAGTGCCTAAATGGCAGAAAGTGTTGCACCATCCAACCTGGATATTTAAATATTGATCATCACAAGTTAACTCTTCTGACAGGTGACCAAATCTCTTTTGCTCAGTTCAAAGGACAGCTGKTCAYTGGRCACTGAGTTCCTGAGGATRKGAAAAGCATAATGSAAAAATATGCAACTCTGKCTCTTTTAATAATTCCCCTGTAATYACAAAGTTCTGCAATGAAATATTCCACCAGAATTTTTCAAACCTGAGGTGAGTGCCTCCCCACATTTCAAAAATGGCCAGTAATACCATTTTAGAATAAATGATCAGCAAAAACCCAACTGAAAAAAACCCCAAACATACAAAGAAACTCTATTGAAATGCTCTGCAGGATCACGTTATAGAAATTGGAGAAAACAGTGCCATTTTACAGTACAGTGCCTTGAATCTTTCAATGCTTACTTGATTCTGTTTCAGTGTGGACACCAGTTTCTGTAAGGTGATGTTTTCTTCTTCCAGCTCCGTGTAGTCCTGCAGCAGTCTCGCCTCTCGGAACTTGTACTCTCGAATCTCATCTTTCATTCGTATCCTCTGCAGTTCCACCATTTCGTTATTCTGACAAGAGAAAACACAAGTACATCACCATTCGTGCACAGCCACTTTCATGCTGAGCACCACCTCAAGMAAAGGCCAAACACAAATTAATCCTGGAACAGAAATGATTTAACAGTGCACTTCAAAACACCATCATCTATTAATTTGAGGCCAAGCAATAATTTCAGGTGGGTGCTGGCAATGCAGAAGTGAGAATGTCTGATAGAGATGCCTGATGAAAGCAGCTTCAAGATTAGATGCTCRTTGAAATAGAAACCCTGGCAAGGCTTTAGCATATCTCATTAGTTTCATTACTCTGCAATATAGCATGACTTAAATAAAATTACCACCTCTCTTCCAGTGAATGATGCGTTCTGCATGTTCTACATTCATACAAAAAATAATCTCCAAAAACWTCTGCTGGGGAGCAAGGTGCACTCGCATTTAGGTCTGCAGGCCCTGGAGAGGCTCCCAGGCAGGCACAGGGTGGAAAGCCTTGTCCAAAGCCTGGCAAACACTCCTGCTGAGTAGGATCACACCCAGCACGCCAGGACAAATGGCACCATTGGCACCATTTTTATTTTTCTGGGCACATGCAGTGCCCAGGCAGCCTTATGAGAGAGAACATGAGGGATCAGTTTCACCAGAAATTGTTTCCATCAGATTCCAGCTCTGACTGCGTTTGACATGAAGAGTCAGGTTATTCTGGAAAGACTCTGCTGACATAACCACGGTGTAAAAGGCACTACAGGAAGCTGGAGGTAACACACAGCTGGAAGGGAACAGTGACCAATACATTTGGCTGGCAGCAACAACCTCCTGCCCTGCTTTGAAAGAAAAGCCTGCATTTGCCTGATTAATAAGCAGATTCAATCACATCTCCTTTCCTGCAGGAGGATCCTGAGCATGGCCAGGAGATGGTGGAGAGACCTGATTGATGGGGCAGAGCCCCCTTGCTGCTGGGCTCTCAGAGAGCACACGTGGCAGGCAGTAAGGAGCTTCTGGAAAAGGTTCCATTGTGGAKGCAGGGCAACCACTGGCCTGATGGCTACCTGAAAAAAAGTCAAATGTTTAAATGCTCAGCAGAAACTCTAGTCAGGGAGCTCTAAATCAATAAATCTGCATCACTCACCCTCGGCATATGAAGGATAAGCCCCCACATTCTGAATTAAGGACAAACAGAACTTTGCTTAGCATCTAGGTTAACTTAACCTAACTTTCTAACTAACTTAACAAACTTAAAACACTTACAAACCTAACAACTTTCTAAAAACGAACATGTTTGGTTAAAGAAAACTAGAAACCACTGCCCTCCTCCTAGCAGTTCATTAGGAAATAAGGAAGCTACCTAATTCCTTAACTGAAAACAACTGAAAAGATTCCCAGTGGCAGAGGAGTCACAGAGCACTAGATAAAAGTAACTCTGTGTAGATTCCTGCATCCATCACTGCCTAATCAACCTCTGACGAAACTGTAAGAGCAGCACCACAGATGATTTCAAAAGGGGAAGGCATTTTATACCCCCAGGCTGCCTTTATGCATTTTGTTTGTGCCAGCACATTCCCAGCTATGGCAGGTGAGGGTGTGTGTGCCAGCCTGAGGCAGGATGGGGCAGCACCCAAAGCACAAATCCACTGTGTCCAGGATAAATGAGCTGCTCTGCAACTCTCCCTGTGTTTGGGGATAAATGAGCAGCTCTGCAACTCTCCCTGTGTTTGGGGATGATCAGCTCAAGAAATGAGCTGGCTGACACCCATCCAGGAGGTCTACCTACACCTCACTGGGGTGACACCAACATCAGCAGCCAGGACAGAGCTGCTCATGACCCAAACTGCCTCTGCCATCAAAGCTGCTGAATGAAGGGAAGGGAACCCCAAAAGGCCAGCTCAGGCAGGGATTGGAGCAACCTGGTCTAGTGGAAGGTATCCCTGGTTCGTGTTTTTAACTCAAACCAGCCTCAGATTCTGTGATTCTAAAAGGGAAGAATGAAAAAGGTGGGCAGAAATGGAGGAAATGAACATGGAATTGTTGCAGAATCCTGATACAGTATTTCCCTGATAGAGCACAAGACAGGTAGTTTGAAAAAGCCTTGAAAATTAATTCTGTGTGTTGTGAGTACTCTTTTGTCTCTCCTGTAATTGCAAAATGCAACAGAAAACATCAGCTATCACCTYGCTGGAGTGCACCATCATTTCTTTAAGAGAGATACCCCATTTCTTCACCATTTTTAACTGCAGTGTCCTGTGTAATCTTGGAGACACAAAYAGAACCATCTATCATTCTGCTCTTCTTGAACATAAATAAACTATTTCTGCAGTGCAGCCCATATTGGTCCTCACTCATGGCATTTCACCAAGGAAGAAACAGCAGGAAAAAGGAAGACTTGCCTGTTAGAGCACTCCATGCCTGCCACAATTCCCATGGCCAGGACCAAGGCYTCTGCTGGAGGGGATCCCACTGCTCTGACACAGCACAGAMCCAACTCAGCACATTACAGAACATRGCATCACCTYTTCAAAGCAAYATAAAATGTGTATTTGTTCACTGCAAAGCCCCTGACAGTTATTCTCCATGCTCCAGATCCCTCCTCCTGCTTGCAAACATCTGCATTATGCTGGCAAACACCCAGCTGCAAAGCTCTCCAGAGCTCTCTGTGCTTCCCAGGAAAGGCAGTGATTCCACACCACAGGACCCAAACCTGGTGTTACTGAGGATTATGAATGAGTTTTGTGGGAACATGCTGAAATTCTACCCTGCTTTTCTTTAYATAAGACCTCTATGTATTTTCTGTAAGTGAACTAGTCCTGAACCTATTAAAAAATATATMTATATTGAGTTTATTCTCTTTTACTGTCAGTATGAAGCACATCTTTGTTTTCATCAAATGCTTTGATTCAATATGTTATCTTCTCACAGTCCTATTGTTATTTTGAACCATTAAAAATACATATTGAACCAATAAAATATGTATTTCTTCAGCAAGATATCTGCCATTTTATAGCAGAGATCTTGCTGTATTGATAGAGGAGCAGCAAGAGGCAAATTTTTTCTTTGGCCTCTTCCGAGAGGACTTGGACTTGTATGAAAAGAATAAGAGAGGATTTAAAAACACAAGGCAAAAGGATTTTGTCAGCAGGGCAGTTATCTATATGAGCCACTAGAGGACAATGTAACCCAAATTATTAGTCAAGTAATCTGTAATTAAACTTTACTACTCATCAAGCACTGAACTTGCAGGACAAAGCAATTGAGCCAGATGCTTTTACCAAGGCACTGCCTCAGGACTTCTTACATTCCCAGAGAGAATTCCCCTGTGAACTATGTACTGGATCTGCAAAAACCAAATTAATCCAAGAGGTGGAGCTGATGACACATGAGTGAAGTTTTAATGGCTGAAAATTATTTTCCATCCCAGCCATCAGCTGAAGGTGGTGCAGTGGCTTCAATGGATTGGTGCCAAAGAAGAAGGAAAAGGCCTTTCAGTGAAACTATAGAAAACAAGAGAGTCCTTGTCAGCATTGCATCTCATTATATGTGAGCACTAATTGTGCAAGATGTCAGCCCCACGGCACCTCTAATGAACATACACATAACGGAGCAGACCATGACAAATGGAGARCAAGAGGCTCAGCCCAGACAAAGTCTGTTCAGGTCACCTATTTACTGGTACTTTGTCACATTTTCAGAATTGTCATATATGAAAAGTGAAACACCTCTMTAGGTTTTGCAGAGGCAAGGACCATGTACTACCAACCATCAACCCTGACAGGCCCTGAGCATGAGTGGAATATTAAATAATCAAATTTTGTACTTCTTAGGAAATTAAATGTAATATATATTGATGTATTATTTTTTATTCAGCATAGACTTTTAAAATGCTGTATTTCATACACTACATGCAGAGTACCTTGTATTAATTGTGTGTGGATACACTGTAAAACATTGTGTAATATCAAATAATTGCAAGTAAGAAGGTACTTTAAAATGAAGGAATGGAAATGGCTAATGTTGAAAACTACGAAAAACCACATGATTTTCATGTCAGAACACTCCCAACTGCCTGCAAAGCCACTTGTGCTTCTATCATTTCRTCTAAAGAAAGCAAACCAGGCAAGGAAGAAACCCCTAAAGCTGAGTACTCTCATCTCCAAGGTGAGAAGTGAACTCTGGCCTCTGGTTTCCTGAACTATGAACAAACTGAATTTATTGGAAAGTGGAAATGTTTTGAAGCCTTGTTTTTAAAGTGAATGCAGTCCCATTAACTATTTTTGTTCCCCACTAAACTGGCATACATAAAGGATTTTCTGTATTTTGCCTAATGGTTTTCATCCCYCAAAATTGTGGAACTAGTGTTTGGGCTTTTTCCATACATTCTGTTCAAACAAATGTTCATTAAGAGATTTCAAGTCCTTACTGCAGCAAAACTGCACTGAAAACCAGCCTTACAATCATCAATTAATTATAAGCCCCAAATTTTCCAGATTAAATCCCTACTTATSTATTGGAAGATGTAAACCATAGCTGATACTGTGTGCAACACTTTAATTTTCATAACTCACAAGAGAGCAAGAGAACAAWGGTAAAATTGTACACTTCCAATTTAATGGCACTGTTTTATAGCTGATGCACACTGAAATCCCATTCGATCTGATGACAGTTTTATTGCACCAGTAGTAAACTGAATATAAGAGAAAGTTTATGCTCARCCTAATATCCATGATCYTAYGTGTTTGTTGACAAGTCTCACTGTAAATTTGTATGTCAGGTTTACTTTATCCTGCAGAGGGAAATAAAAGATGTATTTTTTATGAAGAACAGTAATAGTGATATAGAAAATTCAATTTAACAGGGGGGCTGAGAGCAGAGAATGAAAGTGGCAATAGAAGACAAAACCAAAACAAAACATTTTCTTTACTTGCCATCAAGTGTTTTAAGCCCCCAGAGTCCTGTAGATGAGTCTTAAAGTTTCCCTACCTCATAYACAGGAATACTCAACTTAAACTGAAAGAATGGCATTTTCC